GTGTGTGTGTGTGTGTGTGTGTGTGTGTGTGTGTGTGTGTGTGTGTGTGTGTGTGTTTATTGGTACATATTGATTTATTCTTGGATTTTAGCTTTCAGTGCGATGGTAGCGTTTGTGCAACAGGAGGCCATGATTCATTTGGTCGAATATGGGATTTGCGCACCGGTAGATGCATTATGTTCATGGATGGGCATCTAGGATCCATATTTGGCATTGATTTTTCGCCGAATGGTTTTCACATAGCAACGGCGAGCGAAGATAACAGTTGCAAAATATGGGACTTACGGAAGAGAGCTTGCATATACACGATACCGGCACATACCAGTTTGCTCTCCGATGTGAAATATCAGAAAATAGAAGGACAATATTTGGTTACCGCATCGTATGACAATACGGCCAAGATTTGGTCCAATAAAACATGGCAGCCTCTCAAAATGCTACCAGGACACGACGGAAAAGTAATGTCCGTTGATGTATCTTCCGATCACAAATATATCGCGACTAGTTCGTACGACAGGACTTTCAAATTATTTGCTCCGGAATAAAAGAAATAACTTAAAAACTTTATTTCTTTCAGAAAAAAGAATTAGTGTAAGACAAATTTATTTTCCACGATATGTTTTATTTGCATTACTTATTGTAAAAGATGAAATATGTAATATAACAATGTAAAACCACATCTTTGTTTATACAATTTGATTGTGTAATTTGATTGTATAATATTATATATTTTTATATACATTTCATTGTATAATTTTATATAACAATGTAATTATATAGTTAAAAATGTGCATATTGAAGCTCGTTCTGTTAATGTACAAATTTTAAAAAATATTTCTCTTCTGTAAAATAGGTTTTACAATCGTATATATAAACTTTTGACTATATTTATAACTGGAGTAGCTGTCGTTCAATAGACGCATCGGTGTCGACGTTTATATTGACCTCGAAAGAATTGCAGATGCGTCAAACTGCAAACTCCTGTATCAAGGTTTGTTGATTACATTTCAAGACACGAATATCAAAAGAGGAAAGACTTTGCTGCTTCGTTAATAAACTTTTGACGAAATTTAAATAGAAAACAGTAGTACACTCTTTGAAACTTTAGTTATAGATCTTGCATTGTTTTACTGACAAAAGCTCTTTTTTTTTTTTTTAATGTTTAATTTTATTGTTTAAATTCAAGATTTTTAAAATTTTATCCTTTTCTTTTTACTGTGATTCTATATATTTTTATTTATAAACATATTTATTTAAACATCGTGTTACATAGAATATGCAATTATTTTCTCTGTCTCCTTTATATTCTTTTATATATACAAATCGAGAATGTACTACTTTCAATCGTGGTGTCTATCATACTTGAGTTATTTTTGTTTAGTCATAAGAGATGTGCATTTCACTATTCTTTGTTTTTTAAAATGATTCACTTGCATTATTTTGCGGACAATTTTAAAGATATCAAGATTATAAAAGTTCTTAACAGGATCGATTCATGCAGATTCGGTGAGAGGTAAAGGTTGATGAAGCCAGGTTCTGCTGCCTCCTTCGGCGAAATCCGCGACCGCGTGGCCGTCACCTTTCAGAACCCATTTTGTCGTTAACAGTCCGTCTACTCCTACCGGGCCACGTGCGTGAATACGCGCAGTGGAAATGCCGACCTTTAACAAAAATATTGTCGCATTTAACTCTGTGATAAGTCACGACAAAAGATATTCTTTTTTTTTTTCTATTATTTTGTGAGAATAGCGTCAGAATTGTAAGATTTATAAAACAATTTTTTTTAAATGGCAATTGAGAGTTTTGTGTTTTCTGGCGCAATTCAGTTCTCAGTTCTCTCACCTCTGCTCCGAGTCCGAATCTGTAGCCGTCCGCAAATCTAGTGCTGGCATTGTGAAACACGCACGCACTGTCCACTTCTCTTTGAAAATGTGTGGCTGTGTTGACGTGCTCGGTCACAATAACGTCCGTGTGACTGCTGCCGTATTTATAAATGTGGTTGATAGCGTCGTCAACGTCCGAAACTACTTCTATGGTGCATTCGAGCGCGCCGTATTCGGTTCGCATGCTTTTCGCAGCAGGCGGACCGAAAGTCAATAGCTTTCTCAACTTGGGGCCGGAATTGATTTTAACCTGGAAGGTCGCTCGCGGTAATGCGAGCACAACGTTAATATTGAGCTAATATCTTGAGTGTAAGTCTTCGATCGTTATATCAAAAAACAGACTGACATCTTTTATGATTGATTGAGCCAAAATTGGGGCCAATTGATCCGGGAACGATAGATTCAAGTTATTGTAGATATTGTCGTTTATATATAAATTAACGTTCGGAAGTGATAACACAGTCCTTGACATTATTGCGAACATATGTGTATATTTTTTTCTTTCACTTACACTCAGCACAAGGAAAGAACTAAAATAATCAATTCTGTTTTATTTTGTTTCAAAGGAGCTGATATATGTTTCGCAACATATAACATTAAACTTTGCGACATTTTACGAGATCTTGACGGAACTTCCTTACGAAAGTTTTGTTTACGAACACGAAATACTGTAGCGTAATAAGAAACAAGGAAACTTGGAAGAAATCAACATAATCCTCTTTCTCTCTCTCTTTCTCTCTCTCCTAGAGAGTTGCAAAAGTCCTCTCAATTCTTGTTGAAAACAATCGAAAATTGTTTCTAAGAAAAACTATCGCTACACACAACTTATCGCATTTCTATCCCAATAACGTCACTATTACGTAAGTTAGCTTACCCCTTCTTTGTGCAACATGCTGCATACGTCGCTGAAGAAACTGTTGTTCATGAGACTCTCGTGTATGAGCAACGTTTCCATGGCGTTGCACGCAGCGGGATAATCACACTTTGAATCCTTGATGATCTTCAGGGCTTTTGTCAGATCCGCGTCTCTGTCGATGTAAACGTGACAGATGCCCTCGGCATGACCCAGCACGGGTATGTGCTTAGATTGTTCTTGAATCGTGCGCACCAACTCCGAACTACCGCGCGGAATAATGAGGTCTATGTGCTTCTCCATCGAGAGAAGATCGCTCACGTCTTCCCTCGTAGAGACGAGCGAAATGGCGTTGGCAGCGCCGAATTTGTCCAACGCTTCCTTCACGAGTGTCATCAGGTACTTGTTGCTGTGAGCGGCTTCTTTACCGCCCTTCAAAAGAAGCCCGTTGGCGCTGGACATGGCCAGAGCGGCCACCTGAGGCAAACTATCCGGTCTGGATTCAAAGATGACCAGCAACACCCCGATCGGCACCGTTATCTGCTGTAATTCCAAATCTTCGGCCAGTCGCGTTTTGCGGATCACGCGTCCCACGTTGGTCAGCGAATCATCCGCAATCTGACGCAAGCCGGAGCTCAAAGATTTGAGTTTCGCCGGCGTAAGTGATAAACGTGACAATAGAGCTTTGGCTAAATTCTTGTTCGCGGCATCCAGATCCATCGAGTTCGCTGCAAGAATCTCAGATTGCCTCGTTTCCAACAAGTCCGCAAGAGTTTTGATGCATTCAGCACGCTCCTCCGGGCGTAAAGCCTGCAGCGTTCTGCTCCCAACACGAGCTGAAATTTTATTCAAGTCAAAGTTTCTTCTCTACAAACGTCTGTGGATTATACTTGTCTCAAGTAACATCTTGACAAATATAAGCGCAAACTGTATTTTATAACGTTGCAAGAATAAAATTGCAATTCTATTCAAAATTAAATTTTTACTCGGCTGTAATAATTCTCGTAGGTCAATTGTTTATTACGTGTATATGTGATATCTTTTTATACAAATGTTTCTTTCGCGCGCGTTGCTTTTTACATTACGTTAATAATATTTCGTTCAAAACTACTGAGAAACGTGTAGCAAAACTTTTTCAACAAAATTAATAACATATGCAAAACACGCGCCTGATATGTAGCGGTAGTTATTACGAAATTATATGTTGTACAACACACACACACACACACACATACAAATCAGCATTTGTGTGTCAATGAATATCGAGGTTCGTTTCCGGAGATAAAAGCACTCGAAACTAGAAAAACTAGTAAAACTGAAAACGCATTCAAATGCAACACAACCGAACAACAATGTGCATCAATTCCGGGAGAGTTCTGCAATTAGAAAAATTACTGGTCCGTACGCACAACAAATTTTAATCAACGTTTAATATATCGAATGGATAATTATGTAACATCGTGTTTGTTGCTGCAAAGCACGTAAAAAGCATATTGTACCGTTTTCGGCGACCACTTCGACAGGAGTGGACGAGCCAGCAGCCTGCGTGAAGAAGGTACCGATCTTTCTGCCCGACATGATGCTCTTGATAGCCTTCTCCTGAGTACCGTTGCAGATGACCACCGCGACGCCGCGATCCATTGCCCAAAGCGCAGCGTTGACTTTCGACGACATGCCGCCGGTGCCCACCTTCGATTTCTCTCCGAATTTGATGGTGTTTCGGAGATCGGAGCTGAAGGTGTGCAGCATCCTCGCGCCGTCCTGCCAGGGTGGAAGATTGTAGATGCCGTCGACGTCGCTCATAAGAACCAGCAGATCCGCTTGGACTTCGGCCGCCAGCATAGCCGCCAACGAGTCGTTGTCTTTGATGGATATTCCTCGCCTACCGCCGCCGCCTGCGACCTCCTCGTCGACGTCCGGCGGCGGACTTACCGCGTCGTTTGTGTTGATGATCGGCACGATGTTCAAACTGATGAGTTCGCTCAGCGTGCTGAAGAGGTTCTTACGCGTCTCCTCGTTGTAAAAGTCAGGCTTGGTCACCAATACCTGCGCGATTTTGACCCCGTACTGAGCGAACATCGCATCGTAGAGGGACATGAGGCCCGACTGACCCACCGCAGCGGCTGCTCTAGGTTCCAACATAGTTCCTGAATACAATATCAAGTACGTAAATTATCTTGTTTTTCTTTACGCCGAAAAGAAGGCAATACAACAATTTCGAGATTGATAAGGGATTTTCGGAAGATTCAGAAATGACAAATGAGTATGATCAATTGAACATTGGAGAAAATTGTTCGCGGACGCGCAAACACATACATATTGATTGGAAGAGACACTCGAGATGATTCCCGGACAAACAGGATCCCGCAGGAATTCATCGTTAATTTGGTTGTTAGCTCGATCTATGTGGGTGGGATCTTGTCGGACACAATCGACTTGGCAGGTTGCCCGAACGGATATTCGAAATTATCGCAATGTTAATCAACCTCGCTATATTTTTATCAAATTAATGCAACCGCAATATATTCACGAATCGAATAATATATTTATATTTAAAATCACATTTGATATCATGCTGTATAGACACCGATTTGAGTTTACAAACTTGTGTAAGATATATGTATATTGTTTTCTTTGTATATATATGCGTACCTATACTTAATTGTGACATCGCTATTAATTGGAAAACATTATTCGACCAGACATCTCTCAAAGAAGATTTACACAAATTGCTGATTCACTATAAGATTATCACATTCCAGTTTCAATTACATTAATGACTGGCTCACATACGTGTACGTTAATGTACGAATGTACGCTAATGTATGTAAATTCGCGTCTCTTATCATTGATGCATGAAAATATTAATTAAAGCTCGTTATCTACCGAATGCATATCACTCTCTTGATATTATGTTTCGTAAGCGCGCGGAAGAGTGAATGTGAAATTGACACAGGGAATTACACCGCGCGTGAATTCTAGCATCTCCGATATAACTTTCGATATAACGTATCTTGCAGAAAAAGCGAAAGGATTTGCCACTTGCGGAATAGATTAAATTAAATTGGGAATTTCTGATCAAAACAATCTGTTACACACGATATTGCAGGATTTAATAAAAAAAAAAGAACGTAATTGCGTTCTCGTGTAATCATGATTTTTGCGTCGCAAAGAAGTGAAATAAAGTGAATGAAATATTCGGAGATAAGTTTTTATTAGGCAGAGTAAAGAATGAAAAAAAAAAAAAAAACCTCGTACCCGCGTGCTCTCGCGTGTGATCCGTAGGACTCAGAGTTTCTCTCATCGACATGGACATTAAAAGTTCCTGAGTGAGCTTCTGCTTGCCAAAAGCGACCGCACCGCTGGTAACCATAATGCATTCGCGTCCGTCGATCTGACATTCGGCTACCTGTTCCACAATAGACGCCAGACGTCCCAGAGCTAGTCCGTGTTCGTCTTCTCTCGTTATAACGGCGCTGCCGAGTTTGATAACCAGACGACGAGCGTACTTTAATTCGTTGCGCTCCGCGAATGTTTGTTGCCTCCGCGGTCTCACTGTGGTTTGCAGCTCTCTTCTCGCGTACGTTTGCGGCGCTCTAGTATTCTTAAAAAATTGTTGACGAGATAAAACAAATAGCTCACACATATAAACAATAGATTTACTTAAAATTAGAAAAGATACATATTTTCTGATAGCTTTTCTACTGATACGATTATTGCAGCCGGGAATTTTATAATTATTACATAAAATTATTAACAAACGATTACTACATTAGTACGTGTTATTTTGAACCCTTTGCGGACTGACTCAAAAATGCTATTAGTTCGACTGACTGAGACCCACGCGAGACTTAAAAATTAAACATCTCTGCAAAAAATCAATATTTTTCAACTTTTCTTTTCTGTATCAAAAGTTTGAACGATTCTGTGTTGATAAAAAAAAAAAAAACAAATTGAAAAACTAATAATTTCGAAGATGTAAGCGTTTAAAAAAAAACTAAGTTTTATTAGAGACACCGATGCGCAATTTTTGAGTGGGTTTGAAAGACCCATGTCAGTTCACGAAGAGTTCAAAAATTATAATATATACTTTTTTTAATCAAGTATCTCTATATGATAGTAAGAATAGTATGGTAATATTCGTGTTAACTATGTAAGTTTTTACGCGCGATCTGTCTGATAATTCTTTGTATTCTTTCATTGTTGTATTTAGGTACTCACAATTACAGGATAACATGGAAGTATTATGTCTTATTAATAAGAATGAAAATTTTCGGGTGTTATTTTTTTTGTTTACATCTACTTCTTTTCAACAGGTAAACACGATTGTAAATTATTAGTGACACATATGATTCTCCCGCAATTATCCAACATGAATGTCTCGCGATTATTAATGATTGCGTGCCATAAATCATATCTATAATTCTCGTAACTCTCTTATCTTTAACTGCGTCGAGATGCGTTCTATTTTCATATTATATCAGTTAGATTCATGACGCAAGAAAATGCATATTTTGTACGTGCGAATGTGTACAATATTTATTTGCAAAACTTGCTCGCAAAAAAGCGAGCAAGAAAAAGTGTACAAAAACGTTTCGCGCGCGGTTCACTCGCACAATTAATTTAATAACAATAAAACAAACAATTTTTTAAATTACAAACATATGTAGAAACAAATTTTTTCAATATGATATAAATTTTATACAAATAGAAAATTCCATATCTGTAATAAATCGAGAGATAGTGCAGTTTGTTCGCGGAGGTTATCGTACAATGTGGATAGTATATCATACAAAATTGATTACTTATATTATCTCTGTGTAAAAAATTTTATCAAGTTAAAAAGTGCGCGCGTCAATCGCGATTAAAACGACTTTTAAAATAATTCTCTTTTAGAAGAAAAAAAACAACAATAAATTAACGTTTTATTATTTTGTGATGTATTACTATTTAGAAATTTTATTACGAGAAAATTATTCGTCGCTTTATAATCGATATATTTCCTAACACGACAGCTTCAAAACTAATTCGTTATTATCATAACGTGTACTAAATATATTATTTTTCTTGTCAACAAACGTTAATAAACTCTCTGTTCTGTTATATATATATATATATATTACGTGTCTCACATATATTAGATAAATTTTCAATACAATATTTTATATGTATTTTCAATGGTTATGATCAAAATACCTCTAGAGGTGGGTAGGTATACGGTTATCACTTCGATGCATCGCATGCAGCATTATCAACGACCTAACTCGCAAGACACTTCCACGCGATACGCACATATTGATACCCCCTGTACCTTACTGCGTCTCTGTATATATCGATGAAATCAGTTATTTTTCGAGTTAGACTTTATATATGTGTGTATGTGTGTGTGTATGTACATATGTGTGCGCTGACCAATAGCGCGTACAAGCGCGTCTATTTTCACGACATGAAGTTTCGTTGATGGACGACTATCTGTCGTGTTGCACTGTGTGTTCGCATCGATGATACGTGCAATGTAACGGAACTCACTTACATGTCGCTTCACATTATGTCTTCAGCGTCCTAGTTTGCTTTGTTATTTCGATAAAATTGCGTGGATATCGCGTAAAAATGTTGCCAGATTATAAAAAAGGCGATGCGTCGCGTGCTTTGACATGGTTTTGATCTTATTGTTAATTCCGTCACTAATATAATGTTTAAAGAGATTGAGGTGAGAAAAAGTTGGCTACTTATTCTGATGAACTCTGTACACACGGAGCGGTTGATAAGTATCCGAAACAAAATACATAGAAAGCGACAGGAATATAACATTGCTATTTGTCGTTGAGAAGTTTTATCCTTCGAACAAACAAATGTCAAACGTTCATTGTCGCAAGTGTGTGTGTGCAACAGCAAAGTGTAGCTATTCACGTTCATTAATGATCTTATTGTTACTCGAAAATTTCTATCCACCAAACTATTTTTTTCAAATTTGAAAATAATAAAGAAAAATCGCGCACTGGGTCGTATCTGACAAATGACGAGACAGTAATTCAAAACCTAATTTGTAAATTTTGGTCGTTGCAGGTGTTGCAACGGTTGAAATGTGAGCTCGGTACATTGTTAAAATTTACTGAGAGCCAGCTGTCCACTGTGGCGAGAGCTGAACACTATACGTGCGATACATTTGTTATTCCAAGAGATAGAATTTGTCAACAACAGCAATGTGATGTTATCGTCGGTAGTCTCTGTGCTATCGTTTCGGATACTTATCAATCGTGTATCGTGCTAAATCATATGTCACAGATTTTTTCGAACTTATAACTTAAGCGCATCCCAGCTGCGTTACGTCAAATGGTAACTTTCGTAAAAAAAAAACACAATCGCGACAAATACAACTACAGAACCTATACATATAGTTTTTTTCACCACGTACTGTTAACTGCGACAAGCGCAATTTCATGAACGACGAGACAAATCTTCGTGACGACTGTCCAAATCGGACAGATCTCGTTAGCAACAAGATTGAATACATGGTGGTTTTATCCGATTTTCTTTGGAGCACGATTAATCAGCTGTCTTTCAGCAGCCGGAAAGTTTTCGGGACGATCGGACGTTGTTGAGATGTGGACGCGCAAAATTACCACTGCTTGATTACGACGCTCATCGATTACTGGTCAGAGATTTCATTCGAAAAAGTGTCAAACAGTTTCTTTTGCTAATTCACGTGGGAAAGATTGATTATTTTGCGTCGCGATACGTGGAACGAAGTAGATGTCACGAGCGTTCGATAAGCGTGCAAATCAATCGGCAATGGAAAACGCCGTTACGACGGTAGAAACAATTTAAGTGGCCCGGTCAATCTTCGAGACAGAGATTGAAGTACGAAAAAAAAAAAAAAAAAATATATCAAGACAAGATCACGCTCGGGTCGCGGGACGACATGAGCCTCGACGTCGAGGCTGAGCAGCCGCGGCGATGGTCAACGACACACTGTCTTCTACGTAAAATTACATCGAAAGACGTTATCACCGTCAGATTAGAAACGCGTCGTCGAGTATACGAAGCGATCAAGCCCAAGGGAGGGAGACCAAGAGAGACATCTCTTTCGCGGAAACCGATTAAGTGTGTGTGTGACGTCGGCACGCACAACCTATCATATCATGTTCTATTGTCTTTTGAACGTTTCCCGCTTTGGGTTTCAAGGTTACGCAAAGTCCGATTTTACACGCGTGCAAGAAACGAGCGTCTTTGTGTCACGATGCAATCCGCAGCGCGGCGAACTTCGACCCCGAAGATTGCAAATTGCGAGTAAACAGCGTCGCGGTGATAACGCTTATTCTTTTCCGCGACAACATCGCGTGTACCGTGTGTGTACATACGAGTCGATCTATATCCGATAATTTATTGAACGCAGCACGACAAACGCATCATGTTTTGCATAGTTATTGTATATAAGCATTTTTTTTACACATGCTTTGATTGTTTTTTTAAAAATGCTAACTAACGACGATTGATCGAACATGTTAATCGTTGCGAGATATCTAAAAAGCGAGATATGAAAAAAACACACTGCAAACATATAATCAGCTACTCGAGATTTGATGGATTTGTAATCAACCGCGTGTCATTACATCACACACAACGTGATAGATTGTTTTTCAGCGCGAACAGGTTGCGATATATCAGAAGTCTATTTACTTTTCATGCCGACGATACGTAAACCTTCTTGTTATTCCCGATGTAGCTTGTATTCTCGCGGCAAGCAAATCTCGCTCGTTTGATGATTCCCATAACACACATCCCCAGATATCGAAATTCGAATAGTGTTTTTATGCACGAGTTTTTATGCACGAGTCAACATTTTTGTGACAAACATAATCGAAAAATCCGCTCGTCTATTCTTGTTTCTATACGTTTTCCTTTATAAATAAACAAGGAGCGAGGAAGAGGATTTTCTTCTCTCCGTTGCAAGCGGCTTATCCGCAAAGTTGAGTGAAAAGCTCATAAATAAAATATATATAGTAGGAATTATGTATAAAGTATGCTCCGCGATAAAATTCCTTTAACCGCATTCCTTTATTTTTCCTTAAGAACATATGTATATAAATATTATACAGGGTGTTTCAGAACTATGGGATCAAACTTCTAGGGGTTATTCAGTGCAACAGTAGAAAACATTTGAGTATAGGGACCCATGTCCGGAAAAGTGTCACTACCGCACTACGGCCCTAAGACGCGTTAAAATTTAGAAAGACNTATATATATATATATATATATATAATATGCATATATATGTATGTAATGTAATATATATTATGTGTGTGTATGTGTATATATAACAAACAATACACCAAACTAAAAAAAAAACAATAAGTACTAAGATCAATACGAGTCTACATGCTGGATATTCGTGCAAGTATAAATATAATTTCTAACTTTCCCTAAACGCGTGTAAATTAATACATATCAAAATTTGAATTAAATTTTATTCGAAAATTCACATAGAATATATGTATAGAACATATACATGTGTGTATATATATATATGTATATGTATATTTTATATTACATATATATATACAACGTAATAACTATACTATTATAATATATAATTCTTGAACATATAAATTTTTAGTGTTTAACAACAGCTTGTTAACGGTTTTAATGTTAATGAAACAAACCTTGTATTTTATGCAAAAGCAATATTTTCTTGTCTACTAGCACAGCGATCTAGATTACACGCTAAGTCTTCCAGAATTAACTAAATTATTGCAGTCGCGGGGCTTACTTTGCAATGAATAAATTGATTAAATAATTGCACGATCTCTCTCGTAAATAACTTTTGTATCGATTAAAGCGGGAATTGAAGCAATCTTTTTTTTCATAAAATAAAACGAGTAATACGCACGTGCAATTAACATATGTACACGTGTTCGACCAATTATTCTCCAAGCAAGATTACAATAGATTATCAATCACGATATGATAGCGGCTGCATTATTTAGCTGCTTATAGTATATGTCCTTCTCATTATCAGACGGTATTGTAGACGCGGAACTATCTATTCGTTATTGTCGGCGATCTGTCTCGATTGATATAATGCAGCGGTTTGAATACCTTTGACGGTTTACTTGGCTGTATTGATTTATCTATTACACGGCGCTCCGCTCTATCTTGCGAACAATGAAGACGGAAAGTTGCGCATTTACATATACCTGTGCGCGTACAAATTGTCAGATCGAGCTATGATATATTGAATAGAATAGAAGAACGAGATAATTTTAGATACTACTTTAAATTTTTTTTTTTTTTTTTGAAGAAACAGAAATAAATAAATTTCAAATCAGAAAGATGGTAGACGCACAATGGTACCGGAAGGTTGAAAAAAACCGCGAAGTAGCGTAACTTTCTTTGTTTGCGAATCTGTTTATGTAGAATATAACCGCGGTCGGAAGCTGTTCTGTGTAAAGTAGCTTATTTAATTCCGACGTATAATCTCTGTAAGTTTTCATATTCCGCAATAAAGATATTTTTTAATTTAGATTCTCTCCTACACGTCAGCCGCCGAGAAATTAAAAGCTTAAAAAGAGAAAGAATGTCCAAACGTGACTTCCAACTTGAAAGAATAGCGTATGACGCGGCACATCCGAGTATAATGTTACCAAATTGAATCGACCGCTATTAAACCGCGGCGCAACACATCGGTGAATAAAAAGCGATCCATGCCGAAGAGAAAAAGCGATCGGGTGTGAGCGAGGTTAACGACATCCAGCAAGAAGTTTCTGCACCGACGGAATGATATCGCTCAGAGACAGAGCGGTGAAGAGAGTATAGAGAATAAAGAGAGAAAGAGAGAGAGAGAGAGAGAGAGAGAGAGAGTGAGAGAGAGAAAAAGAAAAAGAGAGAAGGAGAGTGTACACAGTAAAAAATAAAATAACATAATTAATTTGAGTGGACCTCCTAGAACATGTAAAAAAGGTTAAAATAACTTATTCGTCATGTGTTACTTATTGACAAACTAAGTAATGTTAAGTGACTGACACTTTACATTTATATTTGTTATTTTGACTTTAAATAATGTAAAACTAAAATAAAAAAATAATGATGTTATTTTATTTTTACATTACTTAAAGTCAAAATATAACAAATATAAATGTAAAGTGTCAGTCATTTAACATTACTAGTTTGTCAATAAATAACACATGACGAATTATTTATTTTAACCATTTTTACATGTCCTAGGAGGTCCACTCAAATTAAAATTAACATTTTATTTTTTACTGTGTAAGAGAGATAGATGTCAGGCAGTGGAGGCGTGTGCGCGGGGCATTTAACAAAATGCCTCCTCTTTCTTTTATCCCCTTTTCTCCGCAGCATCCCCTTCGACGCGCGCTCTTTAACTATCTCGGTTTTATTTCTCCCTCTTTCTCTTTTTCACTCTTTTCTCTTTCGAAGAGCGGAGAAAGAGAGAAAGAGAGCTCTTCGCGCTCGACGGAAGCCTGCGCAGAGCGACGGAGCGCTGAAACGAGGAGCAGCATCGGGAGAGAGGCACATCGTCAGTCGTCGCGGGGGAGCGTGGGAGAGCATCAGCGAGAAGAAGAAGGACCGAGGGAGGCTGCGGGTGGCGGGCGTGAGCGAGAGAGTGCGCGTGATCCGAGAAAGAAGGCGTGACGCGGGAAGCGCGGACGCGAGAGGAAAAGCGCGTCTTTTCGACGTCGACGCAACCGGGTTGGCGCAGCGTAGAGCTGCTCAGTGCTCGTCGAACGGCGTCGCGCTGCGACGGGATCATGCCGCCGCGCCCTGCGCCACCGATCGACCGATCTCAGGTACGCGACAGAGAGATTATCGTTGAGCAATAATGCTCGCGAAACGAAAAAGGGGGCAAAGTCTTCGCGAGTGCTCGAGTTCCCTTAAAGGTCCGCGCTAGGGGAACGCGCTAAGCTCGGAAACGCGACACACACTAATGTAGTATACTAAGTATACTTGAAACAAGAGCTCTTTGATGGTCTTCTGTTGATCCCTAATTGATCCAGTACGATCTACAGCAAGTTCGTGAGAGAATTACTCGGTGACTGTACTTTCGATGGGAGTGTGAGCGAGGGATATCTCGTACCCTCTACACACGTTTCACGATATCTCGAAAGAGAAAGAGAGAGATTTCCTTCTGGTCTAGGATCTTCGATATTATTCAAGATCGATCGAGATTTGCATCTGCAGATCTAATTACATGTATTCATCCTCGTGATCAGTTACGTCGCCTCACACTTCCGCTTGTATTCCTCGTGCGAAAGCTCGTATCTTTCGACGTGGAGCAAGTAGAAAGAGCCAGATAGTAACAAGAGAAAACGTGTAACCACTCGTATATACCTTCGTAATTCGGCCCCATTATTTCCCCAGAGAATGCGCCGCCGGCAAATCATACTCGCGACCTCAAACGACTCTATAAATTGGTGTACTTTGCTAGCTGCCACCTTGGATCGCGATCCGAGTTGTGCTCCTCTAGAGGATACGAGATGATCGAGAATCGACCAATTTTTTTCCCCTTTAACGAAGTTTTTTTTGCTCTCTCTCTCTCTTTCTCTCTCTTTCGTAATAATGGCCTTAGAAATTTAATGGAATTTTTAAGTTTTCAATAAGACTTTTTATTCTCTCTTTCAATAAAAAGAGTCAACTGCTGCGCCGATACACCGTAGGCCAGTATTCGCAAATATTATCTGTTCGAAAGTTTTTTCCCGAAGATAGATTTTTCACCATAACCCCCTCTTTTTCTAGAATTCTTATAACCGTCGTATTCTATTTTTCGAGCAGGATTTCTCGATAAGAGAGTGACGTATTGTTTGCTTATAGAAGATGATTTTTTTTTTTTTGGCAGATACCATCGTCCTGTTTCGTTCGCGATCGTCAAAACCAAAACGGTTGCTTATAGATACAGCAAATATTAGAGTGGAATGTTTCAAGCACACACTCGCGATGCAAGAGAAACGTTATGCGTCTCGTGAGAGCTTTTACAGAACGGTTATAGCGTGTGCACGCCGAAGATGCTCTTCGGTGAAGTAGTTAGAGCGCATATCTAGTCAGACGTATCGCTATCTTTCCTCTCTTCTCGACTGCCGTTAAAATATTTTTCAACGCACATTTTCTCTCTCACTCTCTATCTCTCTTGTTATCCGTGGAAAAAAATCAGGGGAAAACCGTGCCATCGAATCACAAATTGTTTTTACAGCGTATTTGTCAACTCATACTCTCCAGTATAAAAGCATGAATTTATTCTTACGAAGAAAAATAATTATGCAAAATTTTACACAATTATATTACGTTGGATTGCGAGCGCGCGCTGTTGTTTTAACAATTTTTATTTATTTTTGCATGTTTTTTTTTGTATATTTTACACACACACAGATATTTGTTTTGTAATGTTTCCTTAAGCGAGACACAATAAACCCGTTCTCGAATTTTCCGATAAATAACTATATTTAAAACGGAAAATATTTTAAATACGCGAAACAAATTGTACAATTTATATCTCTAACACTCAATTCATTCAACAATATTAAATTTATTACAAAAATCAGAATTTTAATACTGTGTGGAAAATTCATATTGTATACACAGAATTATTCTTTATTAAATCTTCGTCGGTTTAATTATTGATCATGTGGTATTATCGGGAAAAAAATAATGTAAAACTCGAACTTTTTTTCTCATGTAAATTTTTTTCTTTATTTTCTTTTGAAAACAACGTATTCTTCTCAATTCTCTGATCTATTGTGTTCTTTCAATTTTTTTGGTTTTTTGAAATGAAAATGTCTGTCACCCGAAACGCTTCCTCGCTTGAAGGCAATGCTATTTACGGTTGTTTACGTATACCCTTGTGTAGGCGGTGTGTGCATGTGCACAATACGCTTCGAAACATCTCAGAACGCACCTTAATCCGCGCGTTACGCTCAAAGGCTTCTGTTTTTTTTTTTTTTTTTTTACGTATGCCTAATTCGATCTAATTAATTGATTTTAATTCGATTACATCATGTTTTTGATCGGTTTCGACGATGAAGCGTGTCTCATGGCGACAAAGATACCTGACTATGTGCGCTGGTACGTTAGTGAATTTTCGCCGCAGGAAAGAGGCATAGGTTATTGATTATCGTGTGAATGGCTTTATAAATAACTGATCGTGTAGGAGCACCCGCCGGAGACGCGTAAATATCGCTCGACGAGTCGTTCTTTAAAATCGCTACCCGACAGTACTACTTTCTCCGTGTTCCGGCGATATCGTGTGTGGACGCTCAGGATCAACGAACGCATCAATAATCGTATCACAAAAAGAAAAAGATCTACTTTTTGTTGTGTCTCTTAAAGAGACTTACAGAGAAACTACCGCGGCCAGGTCGTGCCAGGACGGAAAAATTTATATATTCACGCAATCTCGTTCCAAATAAACGAATCGAATCGAAATTCATTCATTTCGACGAAATTGAAGCTGATATTAAAAACGTGATAGGATCGGACATTTTCGAAACTTTCGCATTTTTAAACGTAATATCGCAAGATAAATTGTAAATTTTCCTCTTTATTCAACTTTGTTAATAAACGTTTGTGTAATTTTATTTAAATGTGTCCTATTTTCTCAAAACGAACAAACGCACTCTTCCTCTCCTCACAAGAATATATAAAAAATCTCTCTAAATCCTATTTATTAATTCATACTACTGAAAAGAGAGAGTCATAAAAGATATTTAACAATTTTGCGCGCATATGTATGTAAAGAAAATGCATTTATATACAAAACTCGCGCGAGAAGAAAGTTTCTACGATACGACAAAAAAAAAAAACAGTTTTACACGGTTGAATTAAAATTGAAAAATAAAATGGCTTGCTGACGGGTTTCCACGAGTTTCCACGAAAAATTCGTTGCATTTTTCGGTATATTTTTGCCGAGGCGAAGGGAATCAGATAACGTGATCGATTGAGAGATATTCTTTCGAATTGATAAAGACACTAATGCGCAGTGTGTAGAATGGCAGTAATAGATTGACCGGAAGTCAGCGCAGTCCATTGTACGAGAGATCTCTTCCACACGAATAATGTTCCAGTCCGACCACATCAGTTGTAATATCACTGATACATAAAAATTACCGTAAATGTGTGTATGTCATAATAATGGTGAGGATAATGGTCTACTTCTAAAATTTAATGAAACTTCTTGTAAGTGTTGAGGAGTATAAAAATTATATCTGTTTCATTATACGTATGTTATCACATCATTACTGTCGTCTTTCCGATACCGCAGTAGATTTTTGTTGCTTTTATTAATATCGCAGTAACAACGCTTTGGTCAAGAGATTAAAGAAAACTCGCACGTGAGTAAAATTCATACACGATACACCCAGAGAGATCAATAAGTGCTCGGCAGTGTTCACCGTACGTGACTTGGTGTAAATTAGAAAGAAATCCATAAAACAATCAAAAATATCAAGAATCAAGATCACGGATAAAAAGAGGTTTCGCGTTACTTACTGTTATGTATTTTCTTTTTTCGCGGATTTATTTTATTACAGAATGGAATATAGAAGAGGAAACGAAGTGTTTTAAGTAGTTAGTTAGTTAGCGTCACGTTTTGCAATATCGAGAACACAGAGAAGTGTCACATCCTGAAAATTAAAACGTTCTGTGTATCCCGCGCGTATATCACACACTCTCAAAATAACATTATCAATATATTTTCATCATAAATACGACCGCTCGATAAATGTCAGCGTGCCACTTTTTTTTTAATTTTGCAACGGATATTAATGAGGGAACATGGTATATTTGTAATAAACTGCGATTGAAAAATGTCGGCTGTGAAATGTGACGAGGGGGAGGGGAAAAGAAAAGAGAGGGAAGGGACGTAGCTGTCAACGCGATACTTATTTAAAGAACGAATAATTATAAAATTAATTGCTTGTTCAACATCACGCCCAACTTTTCTTCCTCTTTCCTCGACTTTTCATGGTAAATAATTCTGATACAAAAGAGAGAGAAAAATAAACTTCTCGCGGGAATACTTTTATCGGGGAATATTGCAGCATCGACGCATAAATTCTTGACTGAGGTGAAATCACAGAGATATTGAACAATAAAGTGCGTGACTTGAAATTCTGTCTCGCGACTCACACACAACTTTGAGATCGCAATTTCAAAACGATCTTATATGTGATCTTAAGCCGTGGTTTTGCGGCTTGATTTTGATTATGCATAATTAAATTTTCGACAAGCATCGCTTTTCAGTGTCGCCGAGGATTTTTATCGTTCACTTTTTTATTTCAAATAAATTATTACGTGACTCGAGAGTGACTTGAAGTACATCGCCACTTTCGATGTGTAAAACAAGGAACTAAGGTTTTTTACGTAACGAGAGTTTTTTGAAATAAGAACTTCTTCCATCATATCGAGTGTCCGTTATCCGATTCTTTATACAGGCTATGTGTCACGCGAACTTTTAGCTTGTTCATTGTGCTAATGGACGCCAAATTGGTCTTTGACGGGACACTTTGCGGTGTGACTCAGTTTCGTCAGTGATCCGCCGACGGATCCTAATTGTTCCTTTAATTTGTCCACTGTACTTCCGTCCCTCGAATCTTCAGCATTCAATCGTTTGCATTTTATATGTATATAGTTTTGTTTACGCTATGATAACGCAAGTATTTCATTTTCAGAAAATTACTTGTGGACAGTGAAATGATAAGAAAGCGCGATTGTTTTTTTTTTTTTTTTTTTAATGCTTTACTATCGTAAAACTTACTCTTCGCTAATTTACTACAACGACCAATTAAAAAAGCATTCTGTT